TTTGTTTAAAAAAGATTCCACATATCTTTTATTTTGAAACGTTGGTTTCAAGAATATTAGTTTCGAATTGTTGGTTTCAAAAAAATGTTAATATATCTTTTCATTGTTATTATTTATAAAAGACATCCATGATGCAAAAGAAAAAAAGATTAAATTTCTATGTTTTGCCAAACTACACTTATTTCAGTACGCCTTGCTTTTAAGAAGTTTCTAAAACAAAGGTAACAAACTTTCAAATCACATTGGTACAACCTTTTGTTTTCACGTGTAAAATTTGTATCACTATCTCAACTATCCTATTACAAAAATGCTTTCTTTTTTGCTTAATGCATTTTCATACTGTTAAAGGAAACCGAATCTATGATACTAACTTCAGATCACAAAAAGTTTACCGCAATAAGTAATATTATAGATATATTGCGGATGGTTGAAGTGATCGGACGTGTTTTTGCAGCGTGGAATTATTTGTTATTTTGATTCTTTTTATTTTTATTTTTTTTTATTTTTTATTTTTTTTAACAAACTACTACTAATAATAAATTTTTGATATGGATACTAAAAGTATTGAAGTACTTGTTGCTGGTTTACTTGAGAAACATAAAAATTCCAACTTAGATGACACAAAAAAACTTTTAAAAAAACAAGAAAAGAGTTATGCATCCTTAACAGCTGCAAACTTTAAAATGTTCACAGAAAGGCTGAATGAATATGAAAAAGATAATATAAATAATCTTCAAAAGATTAGCAAAATTGAAAATGATTTAGAGATAACAACTAAAAAAGTAATCTCTCTTGAGGCTGACTTTACGGAATTAAAGAAGTACATAACGACCAGTGATCAAATTGCTACTGAGAAATTCGAGGTAGTAAAAAAGAAAACTAAAGAAATAAATAGTAAATTAAGGGATAATAGTGAGTTATTAAAGGTAAAAAGCAAACTAAGAGAAATTGAAGATAGATCGAGAAGGAATAACCTGAGAATCGACGGTTTAAAAGAAAATGATAATGAAAGTTGGAGCAATAGTGAAGAAAAAGTGTTGAAGCTATTTGAAGAATCACTTGGACTGAAAGAAATTAAAATTGAAAGGGCTCACAGAACTGGAATCAGAGACGGCAAAAAAGTAAGATCTATAGTACTAAAATTACTAAATTATAAAGATAAAGAAAGAATCCTAAAAAATTCTTCAAAATTAAAAGGCAAAAACATATATATAAATGAGGATTATTGTGCGGAGACGGTACAAATAAGAAAAGAATTACGGATGGAAATGAAAAAAGCTCGAGAAGGTGGGAAATTCGCGTTTATATCATACGACAAGTTGATTGTACGAGAATGGTCTCCAAAAGAAAAGTAAATATTTTATTTTTCTTCTAGCTTAACGGTACCTTTTATTTTTCCTTTTTTTTTATATATATGATTTAGATTGTTATTATATTCTACTTTTTTAAAAATGGATGATAATCTTTTATTAAATTTGAATACTGAGAGTGATGATGACTATTTCAATAAAAAAAACTTTGAAAGTGAGTATTATTCAATCCGTGAAGCTACTCATTTTTTGTGTCAAAAAAATAAAATAAATAGTTTTTCAATTTTAAATTTAAACATTCGAAGTATCAATAAAAATTTTGATAATCTAAAATTATTATTGAATGATCTAAATCATGATTTTCAAATAATTACTCTCACGGAAACGTGGTTGAAAAGCAATGAAAAAAACTATAATTATGAGCTTAGTAATTACGTGTCAGTCCACCAACCGCGTCAAAACCACGTTGTCGGTGGTGGTTTAAGTATCTTTGTTCACAAATCTATTAACTTTGAATTGCGTAACGACCTCAGCGTTAACGAAACAGATTGTGAGTCGTTATGCATTGAAATAAATAATAAAGCGACCAAAAATATAATTATTAGTTCTATTTATAGAAAGCCATCTGGTAATTTAAAAAAGTTTCATACCTATCTAAAAACATTTTTAAGCAAAATTAACATTACAAAGAAACACGTGTATTTAACTGGTGATTATAATTTAAACTTGTTAAATCATGCTTCAAATCTAAATGTTCAATGCTTTTTAGATACACTTATACAATACGATATCATTCCCAGTGGGCATTTCGACGTCGAACGAGCGTCGAGCGACGTCGGATCTCGACGTCGGATCGACGTTGGGTTTACGTTGGAAATGGAAATGTTATTTGACGTCGGATAAACTGACATCGCGCGACGTCGGCATTCCGATGTAAATCCAACGTGTTTTTTGAAAACTAAAAAACGCTGCCTTTGTCAGGAATCGAACCTAGGTATATTAGTTTCTACTTCCTATGCGCTACCACTACACCACAAGGACATGCTTATTGAAGAGTTTATTTAGTAATTTATACTTGTAGCTATTTGGGAATTATTACTTTGATAAGAAATAATTTTGTTTAAATATTATATAAATATTAAAACGAATAGTTATATATTATAAAAAATGTATACTCGAAAATGTTAAATGTTAAAAAACTATGCTAGTGCATCATACAAAACCTCATGATGTTTTATCAACCTTTATTCAAACTTTTTTCCATTAATAAAAAAACACGCTTAGTTCACATAATTATTGAAGAGCGCAATTGCACACATATTGTTGGGTTTGGATTAAATTTTCATCAGCGATGTCTTACGACGTTGTTCCGACGTCGTTTTAAGGACGTTGGATTGACGTTGGAAGACGTCAAAAGACATCGGAGTACGTTAATATTATGACGTTGCCCGACGTCTTTTTATCGACGTTGGATCGATGTCAGTACTGCGACGTTTTTTGGACGTCTTTTACAAGATGTCGGAACAACGTCAAAATACATCGAAACGACGTCAGGGGATGTTGAGATAAAGACATCGCCCAACGTCATTTTACTGACATCGGAACAACGTCGGAATAGGTCTTTTGACACCGCTGATGAAAATCGTACGTAAATCCGACGTCGGATTGACGTCGGGTGCCCACTGGGTTCCCTCTATAAATAAGTCGACGAGAATAACTAAGACTTCGTCGACCTTACTAGATAACATATTTACTAATAATTTTCATAATTGCCCTTTAGAATCGGGTATAATTAAAACTGACATAACAGATCATTACCCAATATTCTTAACTACAGATAATATAACCCTTAATCATTCTGTCTCTAAATCAACAATATCAATGCGACAAATCAATAAAAACTCCATAATATATTTTCGAAATCTTTTATCTGAAAAAACTAATTGGGATCTTATATTACAATCGCAAGATGTGAATAATGCGTATGAATTATTTTTGGCGCAGTTTTGTAAATACTATGATTTGGCATTTCCAGTTATAAAAAAAATTATAAATCCTAAATCACTTTTAAACCCTTGGATGACCAAAGGTTTACTCAAATCATCAAAGAGGAAACAAAACCTTTATGAAAAATATTTAAAACATAAAACATATAAAAATGAAACAAAATATAAAAATTATAAAAACTTGTTTGAAAAAATAAAGAAACAATCTAAAAAAAATTATTATGCAAAATTGCTAGAAAAAACACATGGAAACACACAAAAGACGTGGAATGTAATTAAGCAGATAATCGGTACAAATAAATGTCAAAATAATAAATTGCCAGAAAAACTTTTAGTTGACGGGGATATAATTTATAATAAAGAAGTCATAATTAACAAGCTCAACAAATTTTTTCTTGATATTGGACCAAAATTAGCTGATAAAATTTCAAAAACCAACTCAAACAACTTCGAATCTTATATAAATACACCCAACACATCTATGATAGAATCTAATTTAAACTTAAGTGAGATGCGCAATGCTTTCAACTGTCTAAAAAATAATAAATGTGCGGGCATTGATAAAATTAGCGTAAATGTAGTTAAAGCTGTGTTTGATATTATTGAACCATCACTGTTTCACATTTTTAATCTTTCTTTAAAATCCGGTATTGTACCGGAGAAATTAAAAATTGCTAAGATTATATTTTTAAAAATGGCGATGATACAAATATGTCCAATTATAGACCTATTTCTGTCTTACCATGTTTCTCTAAATTGTTAGAACGAATTATGTATGATAGACTTAACAACTATTTAACTGAGAACAATATTCTGTATAATAAACAATTTGGGTTTTAAAAAAATCATTCAACGGACCATGCAGTAGTCGATCTAATAAATTATGTATCCAATGGGTTCAATAATGATTGCTATACATTAGGAGTTTTTATTGATTTGTCAAAAGCATTTGACACTGTTAATCATGATATTCTAATAAAAAAACTAGAAATGTATGGAGTATTAAACAATAACTTACAATGGTTTAAAAGTTACCTTTCAATCAGGAAACAATGCATAATATATACAGAAAATGAAGAAAAAAAACATATCATAACTTGTGGTGTTCCCCAGGGATCAATCTTAGGGCCCTTAATGTAATAATGTTAAATAATGTTTGAAGCCCCCTCAATTTGAGAGGGGATTAAATTTTGGTGGATCATGAAAACCAAACAATAATAGATTAGTGCATAAATTTGTCGATGAATTTAAATCTAGTTAATATTAAAAAATGATTTTATTAACATGTTGCTCTCACGTTAGGGGCAAAGGGGCCAAATTTTAAGGGATTTTTTCACCAATCATTGTATCAAATCAATCATCAAATCAATAATCAAAGTATTCTTATTTGACAAAGACATGTATCTTTATTTGACGCATAAACATGAAAATATAAAAGTTTGGAGTGCTTTCCATGTCTGGACGTTAGCTCAAACACTAAAAAACTGTTCAACGCTCATAAATATATATATATATATATACATATATATATATATATATATATATATATATATATATATATATATATATATATATATATATATATATATATATATATATATATATATATATATATGTATATGTATATGTATATGTATATGTATATGTATATGTATATGTATATATATATATATATATATGTTTCTTCAGTACAAGAACATAAAAAGTTTGGTACAGCGCTAAAAAGAAAGGAATTTTATATTGAATGTGCAGTAACTCCAAAACAGAAACGGTCAGAGGTCGGTAATTTAGAGATCAGTTATTCAAATTCTGTATTATTTATTATATGGTTTCCAAAATACTAAAAAACAATATCGTTGCTTTAAATTTTATTAAATTTTGTTTAAGATGCAAACAAACGCTATGGAGGATTTGCTAAGCTGCATTGCACACAAAGAAATCATTTCAAATGAGTTAAAAAAAAGTCTTCCTGGTATGTCAAAAGTAAGAGATCAAATGGCAAAAACTTTTGTGCATAGAAGGAGAATAATACTTAATTCTACCACAGCACAAATACTAGAAAAGTATCCAGGATTAAGGATTGCTACAGAGGTGTGTTTTAACTTAAATTTATAAATCGATGGAGTAATAATAATTCATAGTTGATAAATTTTAATAATTATAATTATGATTTGTAGTTATTAGAAGAGGTAAATCTCATAACTGGAAATGAAGGAACCAATAAAATAAACCAGTTCTTTACTGCTGAAAGATCTATAAAAGTACTGGAGATAGCCAAGTCGGGGAAAAGAAATGCTAAAAATATTGACCTGATGACTAACATTGTGTCTGCCATAGGATCTGAGTCAAATGTCAATATAGAAGGTTTATAATGTCTCTTTATTTAATGTTTATTTTATGTTTATTTATTTAAAAAAGTGTATACATATTTTTAGCACAACAAATGGGAGGATCGATGTTGTGCTTGCCCGCCATGTTTGGTGAAAAAAATTGAAAGATGGATCGTGATAAATAAGGTCTCAAGTGTTTTGAAGCTACCATTCTCGATGAGATTTTTTGATTTTTAAAGTTTTTTTTTTTTTTTTTTTTACTTTTGTCGATATAAATGTAATATTTATATTGACAGACAATTCTGATTTTTTAGGAATCAACTCTAAGCACAACAACAATAAACATTACTTGCTCAAATCAAGCTAATATTCTGCATTTTGAAGATGTGCATATAGCGATCTACCACAATGGTTTAGTTATTTGTAACGTTCTATCCATCGATGAAGCAATAAAAGTCTTGATAGTATCTTACTGGGTTTTTGAAATAGCCTTCGATCCGCGACTGCAGAAAACATTGACATTTCTAGCCAATTATATTTGTGGGCTTAGTGAGTATTGTGTCAGTCCACCGGTTCAGCGATTGTTGAACAAATTGTTGTAAACTTCTATTTGTAATAAAAGTAATAAGCTTTTTTTTAGATGTGTTGTTATCAATGCGTCGTTGCAAATTTTCAAATCTCATCAACTGGGAAAAAAAAATTTCAAAATGCAAAATAATGTTTTTTACTACCTTATATAAAGGTAGACTAAAATACCTTATTATGCAGGGTATATTTTTCTACCTTAAGGGGTAGGATATGTGATATACCTTTAAAGGTAGAAATTCCTACCTTTTTTTTTTTAGTGTGTAGGAAACTTTTGAGATGATATGAAATAATAGCAGGAGTTTCTTGACGATTTACATTGTTAACCATATCCAGTGTTGTTTTATATTATTTCCATTTTTATATATCGGAATATTAAATCAATGTTATAGTGTATTACTGAAACGGAAGGGCTAACTTAAGTTAATGAGTTGAACTGTTATTTTTTTCTGAACTCCAATCTTCATAAAAAATGTATCCGTTTGTCCGATATTTGGAAATTAATAAGATTTGACTAAAACAAAGTATTATTCCATATTACTTTATAATAAAGTTTGAAACATATTATAAACAGTTCGACTCATTAACTTAAAATAGCCCACCGTTTCAGTAATACATTATAGTATTGATAAAAGTTAATGCAAAAAGTGGTAAGTTGAAAAAGATAAAGAACCAACAACTTCCGATATATAAAAAGAATATTATATATTTGTTGTTGAAATAACTAGTATTACAAAGATATTAACACTATAAAGTGGTTTTGTTTTTCATATTTATATTACAACAACATATATACAAAAAAGAAAAGGAGATAGGACTTAGAATTAGTAATTTCAAGTCCTATCTGTTAAAGTCGTTTTCAAAAACTAAAACAACGAAAAACTAAAACTCTAAAACATTAAACCGATACAACACGCGATCTACCGGAAGATTTAAAAAATCTTTCCGTACATCAAAACTTACGAGCTTTGCCATTTCCTATCATGGCCCAATGCTATGGAACCATTTTACAAGCCTGAGTGGTAAACTTAAAGAAGCGAATACCTCTCAAAAATTTAAAAAGAACATAATCGAACTTATTACCAATCAAGATTCTTTACATGATTTTTTCTATCAATACACTTTTATCGGAAATTACCTATAACTGTAAATGGTTGCTTGACAAAAATTAATTACAAAAAAAAAGAAAAAAAAAAAAACCTCTCATAATTAACTAAACAAGACCGCCATTTTGTTCATTTATCCCCTAATTAAAAGTCAAGTACTAAAACCGCATGCTGTGAAAGTCCGTTTTGTTTTTAACGGTTTTAATTATATATATATATATATATATATATATATATATATATATATATATATATATATATATATATATATATATATATATATATATATATATATATATATATATATATATATATTATACTTGATAACGAGGGTATCCTTTTTAATACTCCCTTGGAATATTGTTTGAAAATTAATTCGAAAAATGAAGTGTTACATCCATAATAGAAGTTTTTATTTACATATATATTTTAAACTGTCTTTTAAAATTCAAGTGAACCTAATTTTTTGTATTTCAATCACCAGTTTTTTTTGTTTAAAGCACTTGACAGCCACAATAAATAAAAATAAAATAAACAATAAAAAAAATGTATTTTTTTTTTTTTTGCTCTTATTTTGATTTACATTTCCTTTAATAAAAATTCTTTCTATTTATACAATCTAATCATTTTATTTTTATAAAGATGTATTTGTGTTCTTTTAAGAATTTTATGTCAACTTAATTTCTCTAATTAAAATAGTTAATTACATTCATTAGTTATTTTTATTTGTAGTTAATAACATTTTGTTGGCATCGAAAAACTTCGACCCTGTTTTGAAAGTGCATTAATATCGAAGATATATTGAATTATTTTTCTAAATTTTAATTTACTGTATTTTCAATGTACTTACACAATTTCATTGAAAAAATTTCACGCTCTCTTATTCTAATTTCTCACGCAATGAAGGTACTTTTTGTTATATTATTGACTTTATAAAAAAATAAACAATAAAGTTTAACCACGAAATTACAGTGTGCTCAAATCTTAAGGTACTTCAATACAATTAAAAAGGCGAAAATCTTAAAATTTTCATTTTTTTAATTATAATTGATCACAGAACCTTAATTTGTCATCAAAATTAAAAAAAAAAGGAAATTGAGGTTATTTCAACTTATCTTAATGTTGGTATTGATTTTTACTTATTGTAGCAGAAAAACCTTTATTAAAGAGTCTGGCTTATTAAGATTTGTACTTATGAAGTTTTGAGTAGGCAAGTAAAATTGTAAAATTCACCAATTCTTATGAAAATGACTATATTTTAGCATGTTTTGATTGAACGTGAAAGTGGCTTATATTGTTGTTTACATTGTTATAAAACAACTGTGCAAATTTCAAAGTTTAACAGTCACCCTATGATAAATAACCGTGTAAACGGTTTAGCCTCTTTTTGGGACCAAAATCAGCTTTTTTATTAGAATTGAAAAAAAAAAAAAAATTAATTTTAATTTGTTTTCATTTAATTTAAGTTAACTATATGTGTAATTGATGTGTTTGAAAAAAAAGTTGTCTAATTGTATAGAAGTACCTCAAGATACCCTTGTAATACTATAATTATAGGTTTTACTAAAATGACCATAACTTCTTGCAGAATTATATAAAATTTTCGCTATTGCATTATTAGTTTTAAGCTCTAATACATAACAATATTAATATTAAAATTAATATCCTAAAATTATTTTACATATTTTTGAAATCTAAAATCCACTACGTTAATGAAATATTTCTTAAAAGAAAGTTTCTTAAAAGAAAGTCAAACTAATGAGCGAGTGATTCAAACATACGATATTACAAATACAGACAATGTATAAAACTTGAAAAAAAAAAAAAAAAATTAATTCCTTTACTAATAGGAAAATCTATAGCCCAAATTCATATCGTAAAATCTTTTTATTATATTTCATTTTTGTATCAAGTACAAACACTTTGTTTTTTGAGCTTTATGCTTTACTTTTAGCAGATGCAATATGTTTGTTTGCATTTTACTTTTAACTTTCCTATTTTTGTGAATTTCACATATCTTGTTTCAAGTTGACCTAAAACGCCGTTCTGATTCTTATTTACATAGTAATTTGATTTAAAATGAAGTTGGGTTTGAAGGTTAACCAAACACATTGCGATGTGATTAATATTAATAGTTGCACCAATTTAAAGTGTTACCAAATGATTACAAAAGATTACTAACGATAAATATCTTTTATAACAATAACTATATAACTTACAATTACAATATCCAATTACATCATTAGAACAGATGCACTTATAGTTTTTATAGAAATATTACGTTAAAAATACTATTCAATAAAATCAAATAAATAAGAAAAGCACTTAAGGTCAGAAATTAAAAAAAAATAATCATTTTTTAACGTCCGCAAACAAATCAAATAAAAAATGTTCCCAAGAAAAATGTCATCGTCACGCGATAAAGAGAATATTTAACATTGAAACTACCGTCTGATACGATACATAACCTGTGATTACAACATCATAGAAATAAAACAAAAGCGTATTAAGGTATTTTTAAATAGTGTTGAGAGTTAAAAAAAAAATAATACAAAAGTGTAATAAATTAGAGACATCAGCGTTACAAAAAAATGAAATAATAAAAACAATCAGTCCTTCAGAACTCGAAATAATTAAATATCCTAATTGTTGAAAATATTATTTTACTAAATTAAACTATTAACAAATTCACTAACAAAACTATCAGTTGCAATTTTACGCAAACACAAATACTTAACAGAATACTAAACTTTAAATCGATTTTCTAACTGATTTTAAATCTTAACATAACTCCCCCCCCCCCTTTTTATTCAATTTAGTTGAGATTTTCAATAATAATTTTTATTCAAATATTTTTATAACAATAAATGTATTATTAGTTTCATATACAACTATCTTCATCATTATATTTACATAATAAATCTATAACAAACCTTATCATAAATACAGAGACAAATATTATAATTGTATTTAGTTTGAAAACTATAACTCAAGTTAAAAAGAACTTTTTCTTTTGTTTTTTATATAATTTACTTGAACAATAGTTAAAAAAAAAAACACTTTTTAAAAAAGAACAAGAACAAAAAAACCTGGTATCAAAAAAGCTGCAACAACCATTCCTTAAAAAAAGCATTAAAAAACATTAAAAAAAAAACAAAAAAAAACAACGAATATTTATAACAAGACACTGCTGTCTTAACTTGAATGTCATGTCTTTTAATTGTATAAAAATCAATGGAAAAAAAAAAGTTTCCCCAAATTTTTATGAATGTTTGCTCAATACTAGCTGAAGTTTATTGCAGACAACAAAGTGTTATTTTAAATAAAGATAACTATCTCTATAGTGTTTTCATACAGCACAAGTATACAGTGTAATAAAGAAACAATATCTCTAGATGTCAAGAATATTATTCTAATGTCATTCAACCTTCAGATCTCCATTAAAACTTGAAAATCTGATGTTTTATTTTGATTCTTACAAAAAGTTTAATATTTTTTCTAATAGAGTTTTATAAAAATTTACTTGACAAAACTTGATGGTCTTTCCTGCATATTATCTAAACTACTTGTCATGCTAATAGTGGTACTACGAGGAGCAGGAATTAGGGAAGTATGAGATTGAACATCATTTTCTTTGGGGTGGAAAGTTGAGGTATATGGTTCATCAATACCTGAGCTATTGCTTCCGCTGATACTAGACTGAAACCCTAAAAACAAGCGTTAAAAAAAATAAATATGCTAAGACAAAAAAAAATCAGTAAAAAATCTAAGATTTTACCTTTAACTGAAGATACTTTAGCAGAGAATTCCCCACTAAATTCACTTCTTCGATTTGGACTATTTTTGTTATTACCAGTTTTAGTATAAGGTTCATCATGTTCATCAAACTCTAAATTGACACCGCGACCTTTTTTTGATGTGGTAACACTTGCACAGCCACCACTTCTGCAAAGGGAAATAGGAACAACGCCATAAACATAGCCCAATGCAATTGGTACACCTACACCAACTGTTAATGCAGCAAGAAATGGTGAAACAATAATAGAAAGTGCAACTCCACCTGTGATAGCAAGATTACGCTTATGGACATTATCATTAAAATCAAATCTCTCTCTAATCTATAATAAATATTTAAACATTGTTATTAATTTACTACATCAGTCTAAATAATTACATTTGAAAATATCATCTTAATTATAAAATTATAATAATTATAAATTAAAAGTAACTGCACTTACCCGACGCCCAGAGTATATTGGAATACCAATCATCATAGCAGGAAGAACAACACCTGCAGCCAAAGCAATTCCAACAGGTGCTCCTATTAAAGTACCCATTTGCCATAAAATTTTTTTCTTACGACTCCATGGTTTTTTACCCCAAAAAGTACAGCCTGATGGACTAAATAGTATTACAATAAATCATAAAAGTCCAAATAATTTTACTTAGTATATTATTAAAATGTAATATAAAAACCTTAAATAATGTAGATCAGATATTTCTTTCATACATAACCAACAAAATTCTCCTCCACATACAGCACATGTCATATGATTACATGATCCATCGTCCATTTTTATAATTAAAGCCATGCAATTAGGACATGGCTTAATGTCTTCATTCATATTTAGAGATTTTCGATCAGCTGAGGATAATGATCGTATTTCAAATTGATTTTGCATTCTGGCTAAATCACAGGTTGTGTTTGGATGCCACACCTGACGACAATGATAGCAAAACTCGTAATTGCAGCCTGGTCGTTCACATTTTAATTGAGGACAACCAGCACAACCTGACGCAATAACAGCATAACCACAGTCTGGAGCAGGGCACCACCTAATATCAGCAATTCCAACAAGCGCACGTCTAAGGGTGAATTCTTCATATTTTAAATAAAGGGCATCATCATTAAATATTATTTGAACATCTGATGGATGAAACACTTCGGAACATTCAGGACATGACACTAATACTCTGCATTCTCGAACAGCAATTGTCAAATGTTGTCGTAAACAATCAATACAATTTCTATGCTCGCAGCTCAAAAGAACAGGAAAAAAAGTTGAACACTTCCAAGAAAAACAAACATTGCACATTAGAAGATCCTCTTTAGGATATGACTGCGTTGTGGGTTGTTTTTCAGATTTTATACTGACAGACTCTATACTATTATTACAAGATTTTCGAGTATTCCGAAAAATATTTCGCAAACTAAAATTTGCATTGCTTAAGGTAATCGAACTTGTAGTTGGACTAGACATCATTTCATTACTAAAAAAATATCAACAATGACTAAATTTTATGTAAACAGTCTTATGAAGCAAACAACATATTTGTTCCTTTTACAACAATAAAAATACTTTATTATTATAAAGTATTATTAATTTTATAACAAGAGCATTTACTATTTGAGTTGTTATGCCATCACTTAACATAAAATGATATAAGATATAATAAAAGTACCTTGAAGTATTTTTTTATTTAATTCAATTTGCTAATCACACCTTGCTTATCATGAAGTTACTTGCTTATCATGAAGTTACTTGCTTATAACACCTTGCATGAGTATTATTGTATTCAGTAGGTATGATTTTTTGATGTTTCAGATGATAATTTTAGGCATTGTGCAAACTCCAAATTAAAGAATGTTCATACAATTGTCAAATGAGAATGTTTTAAAAAAAAATCATGGTGAATAATGTCTAGAATCAAATATAACCAAAAAAAAAAAAAAAAAAACGATCAAAAATGTTTATTATGATATTTAGCATATTTGCAGAAAAAGTAAAAACTTTTTGATATAACTAATGCAGATGTTTAATTATTTTCTATAATGAATTGATATGACTGGTATATGATAGAAAAGTTCAAAATTTTAAATGTGATAAATTAACAAGGATTACTATTCTAGAGTAAGAATTTTTATTCAATTGCAGATAAAAAAAAGATAAAATATTGTAAAAGGATTAAAAGATTATATTATGAAGAGACACAACTTATGTATTAACATTAGTCTTGAAGAAGAAATGGAGGTGTTTCCATTGTAAACTAAGATGGCTAAAATGTTCTTTTCACACAAATAAAAAGAATATATTAACCATCCTAGGTTCTGAAACTTTACTGCAAGCATTACTCTGCGACCAAAATAAAATTGAAAAAAATATACTTGTAAAATTCTGAAAATTTAAATCTATAAAAGACAAACAGGAAAAGTGTAAAAAAAAATGAAAGTCATCCAGAACTTGTGAAGATAAAAAAAATTAGTTTAATCTTAGCTTGTTAGTTTTTATAACCATTGTAAAATAAGCAATCTGATTATATGATAATGAATTCTGAAATCAGCTGCATGTACATAAGGAAAAAAAAGTATCGTGTACTGCTCTAAATTTTTTTAAAAATTCAACATTTATTAACATTAAATGTTTAAAAAAAATGTTTATTTACCATGTATAAGGAATAATTTAAGACATTAGATTTTTAAAAACAAATTCATTCCCAACAAGGCTGCAAACAACTGCTATCTAAGTTAGGAGTCTTTGCCATCTTAGTCTTATATGAAATCTCATTGCTGATGTCAAAGCTGTGAAAGCTTCACTCATACATCAACTGAGTTTAGGCATATATTAAATCTAAGGAGCTTTTATTACGGCAAAAAATCAAAATTTTTTAGTAATCTTCAGGAAAAAAACTGCCTACCTTAATATACAGTGTGTGTGTGTTTATATATATATATATATATATATATATATATATATATATATATATATATATATATATATACATATATACATACATATATATATACACATATGTATGTATATATATATATATATATATATATATATATATATATATATATATATATATATATATATATATATATATATATATATATATAAATATGTATATATATATATATATATATATATATATATATATATATATATATATATATATATATATATATATATATATATATATATATATACATACACATAAATACTAACACAAATTAATATAAAATATACAAAGTTTAATTATTAGTTTTGGATTTTATAAAATATTTTATAAAATTCAAGTTTTCAAAATAATATGGCTAAACACCATTTTAAATATATAACTTCGTCAAATATACTTGCCTTGATAATACGATAAAAACTATATTCAGTTAATAAGTCCTATTTTACTATCAATAAAAAAAAAATCATCTACATTTTTTGCTTACATAGAAACCACACCAACAATTTTTATTACATTTTTTTTTAATGTAAGCATAACTATATATTTAAAAAACAAAGACATCCTGCCAACACTTGATAAAAGCCAGATAGCACAGCCTTTATAACATAAGTCTTAACACAAAGTCAGTAAATATTTGCTACATTATGCATATACAAATAAAAACAAAAAAAAATTGTTTAAAAATTTGATTTTTCTGATCAAACATAATGAGAAACTGCAAGCGGATGTTTTAAATGATATAACTAAGAATTAATTATGCAATAAAAAATTATGGGAAAAAATACTAATTAATAAAAATAATAAATATTAATAATAAGTCAAATTAACAATTTTTGTCACTATATTCTTATCTTAAATAACTAATAAAAAATAATAAAAAATATATAAATATAACAATAATAATTTAAAATCTGCATCTTTGATTAGAAATAAAAACAAAATACCACAATGTAATAATGTTATATTATGAGCAGAAACAAAAAACACTCCTCATGGAAATGCGTAGCATATAAACTTAAAAACAAATTTGAAAAAAAAAATTAATTAAAAGAATGTTGCTCACTAATAAACAATAAAATGAACAAGTTGTCAATCAAGAAAATAAAACTGTTTTTAAATTATTTACAACTTTAAAATTAAAGAAAAACACTTTCAACAGGGTTCCCACTATTAAAACTAAGGCTAAAATTAAGGATTTTAAGGAGATTTAAAGAGATATTTTCCTAATATTTAAGGAGATTTGGTCGCGAACGACATTTTTTTGAAAAAAATATAAGGATAATTAAGGAGAAAACGATTACATTAAAAACATAATCTTATCTTTTCAATAATCTTTAAATATAAACAGAGCAACTATTATTACTTTATATATATATATATATATATATATATATATATATATATATATATATATATATATATATATATATATATATATATATATATATTAATATAATAACAAAAATAGGTTTGAAAACTATCAAAAAATATATATTATCTTCTTTATTAAAAAGTTAATCTTAAAAAAAATTTCTAGATGATTAAAAAAAAAATAAGGAGAAATTAAGGAGAGCAGTCAAATTTTAACTTTTTAAAAGGTTATTTAAGGACATTTAAGGTTTTTATTTTTTAGGGATATTTAAGGTTTTTAAGGAGGTGTGGGAAGTTTAAATACTTTTCACACTTCAAATGTTCAAATACTTTTCACACTTACTGAGTTTAAGCTAGAATAATTTAAACTGTACTTTGATTCTTTAATTCTAACTTTTTAACAATAGAAATACACACACACACGTTACAACATTACCACGTGCGCGCACACACACACTCACACACACACACACACACTTCTTTTTGAGAAAAAAGCAAAAGAATTGAAAAAGAATCATTTTTGCTTTAATATGTAGTTTTGAAACAAAGATATTGGCTACCCAAAGTCAATATGTATGCACCTCACTTATGGCTTTCTCTATATTGCTATCAGTAACACTTTTGCACAATATTCAGTATATATGTGATGTATATGTATGATGTGACTATGATTTAGTACTTATTTTATATATGTAGCATCTTTCCTTAACAAAAAAAATCTAATTAATGACAAATAGAGGAAAACAAAGTAAAATATATAAACACATCTACTGACATGACAGTAAAATATATAAAAACATCTACTGACATGACTGTAAAATATATAAGCACATCAACTGACAGTGCATAAAATAAAGATAAAAACAGCAACAAAAAACAACAGATAAAAAGATAAAAACAATAGTTCAAAGTTTTTGGTGTGGATTATATATACACACCAAAAACACACCAAATTTTATAAATACTACCAAGACTATATATACATTTAAATGCTTTAAATTAAAATACTACATTAAAAACTTCAAGTTTAACTTTCTTAAAATTTGATTTGAAATATATCGTAACACAAACAAACATTGACATGATTTTGGAAAAACATAAAAAATTGGGCATGAGAATTAAATAATTATAGAAAATACACAGCTAAAATTTATTAAAATTTCTGATGAAATCTTATTAAATATAAAAAAAATTGCTTCATAAGTTTTATTATTTTTATTACAATATTTTATTAAACTAATAAACTTCTTATGATAAATCTCAAAGACTTATACAATAAATATATAAGTTAATTTTACAAAAACGATACCAGTAAACTTCTATAAAACATAAAGCTGTTTAGATTTCGGATTTATTTGAAAAAATCGAGACACAAAATACTGATTAGCTCTTTTTAACATTACGACAGTTTATTTACAAAATTATTATAAAAAGCAAACAATGAATTAAAATTACTGCTTTGAAAAACTCAAAGTAGTAATAGAAAATGAAAAAAAAAAAACAGTAAAAATAGTCAATATTTTGACATGAAAAAAGAGAAATTGATACCACAGTAAAAAAAAATGTCTGACATGCGTCTTATATATCCGCCTCGTTTTGATCGTAATAATAAAAACGGCCTTCAAAATTATTTTCCTGCTGCAGCGGTCTGTTAATTTATTTAATTAAAATTGTTTTTCAAAACGTGTTTTAAAAAAGAATTCTCATGTAAAATATTGTTTAAATTTTACAAAACCTACAATAAGTATATATATATATATATATATATATATATATATATATATATATATATATATATATATATATATATATATATATATATATATATATATATATATATATATATATATATATATATATATATATATATATATATATATATATATATATATATATATATATATATATATATATATATATATATATATATATATATTTATATAAAGAGGTCTATAAGTAGCATGAACAAAGTAATTAATATCAATGACTTTTTCAAATACTGAAAAAATCAGTATGGGTAAAGTATTATTTAATGCAATTCCATCTTTTGTAGACTCGCAATACTAAAATATTGTAAAAAACGTAAGTTTCCAGGGTAAAAAAGCAAAAAATTTTGTTTACTCCAATCATCTTGAAAAAAAGCAGAGAGGTTCTTAGCCCTAATAAAAGATATTCTTCTTCAGTAGTTTTTGACATTTTTATCCTAGTTGGTAACTTCTTCTTCTTAATGATTAAATTGAAATGTGGCATGCCTTCATTTATGTTTTTATTACTCTTGCCAGCATCTTAAAATTTCGTTTGATAACATTCTTGATTTTTCTATCATCTCTGGCATTTATTAACTTTTTTGATCACGGCAGCTTGTTACAGCAGCTTGTTCTCCGTACTTGTTATTTAACTCCCAAGTTAAATTTGTATCTACCCTTTTTACAGTAATCTGGGAGACTTTGACAATTTTAGCAAAACTCTTTTTGGTGTGACCTATTTCTAGCAGAAAAATTCTTCTATTAAGACAATTTACAAAAGGTAGGTCTCCAAAAATGAAATATATATCAACCAGATAAATTAACTGATTTTTTTAAATTTGTATCATTAAAATTTTTACCTTCATCAAGTTTTAACGGTTAATGTTTTGTGTAATATTCGTCTTCGGAAACAAAAAATATGTGACAGAAAATTAAACTAAACGTAAACAACAAAAAGTAAACAATCACAACTCCTACATACCAAAAAAAAACAACTAACAAACTCTAGAAATATCTTTTTGAGTCTAGTAATATATAATTAGGTTTTGTAGTATACTTTTATTAGGTTTTATTGTTACTATATTTGTTATATTTTATTGTCAAGGACATGATAAATTATATCATATCTAAGGTAAAAGCTAAAATACACTTTATGAGTAAAGTAAGTTTTGTAATATCTATATGAACGCATATTGAATGTGTTTTATAATACAAGAGTTATTTGTTGTCATTGGATTCTAATAAGTCTATGACGAAAAATAGTCTTTAATTGAAAAAACCTATAGAAATTGAAAGTAAAAACAATTAAAGCAGTATAAATATTTTGTTTAGCGTTTAATAATATTATCTATTCATAATAGTAATGTAAACCTTACTATTACAGAGAGATAATATTAACATAATAAATAGTTTAGAAGCCTTATACGGCTTCAAAATTGTTAAAAAGACATTGTTTTGGATACCTATATTTTCTGTTACATAAAAATGTTTTAATTACTGTACGTTTGCTCCGAGGAAGGAGCATTTTAAAAATCAAATAAAGTGCATACGTGTGGTAAGTGCGTTTTAAAGATCAAATAAAGTTTCATGTTTTATAGATAAGACAGAATTTAAAAAATTAATCAAAATAACTTTTAAACGCGCCGTAAAAAAAAGGTTAATTGGATTTTCATATATCATGAAAATCCAATTAAATATTTTGCATTGCATTTTAGTTATATAACTAATACGCTAAATGCTATTAAATTTATTAAGATTAATGGCTTCAAAAACATACACGCATGCAAAAACGCTTGATCCTTGTGACGTATTGATTAAACATTGGTATATGTAATAGTTATTCCGCAATAATTTCATTATTGCGGAATAACTAAGTTTTGCATTACACTTATCAATGATATCATTAACAAAAATTTTTAAAAATGTTGCCCTGCTCCAGGGTAAGTTACAAAAGTGAACAGATTAGGTTGCAACACAACACTACGAAATTATAAGCCTTGCAAAGTTTTCTTCTAGTTTCTTCAATATTGTTTTACATAAATATTTATATTTATAATAAAGAAAAAACAGAAAATATCCGCAAACTTAAAAGTATTTTCATGGAATATTTATTATGCAATATTTTACAAAAGCCAGTTGAATTGCTCAAATTGATGTTACTTATTCATCAATGACATGATTTGCAGCCTCTATTACCAATGTTCATGGAAAGAGTCCAGTTTCAGGTTTTCTCTCGTAAGTTCGCAAGTTAAAATTTTTCAATTAAAAATATATATATATATATATATATATATATATATATATATATATATATATATATATATATATATATATATATATATATATATATATATTTCCTACTACCAGTTGAGCACTCTACTCGAGTTCGTCTAGAAAATGGAAAAAATAAATTTAAGATATTAAGATATATAATGGTGGTCAATTTGATGTTACTATGGGGGCTTATGACGGTGCTGAAGTTTGGGAGTTATTAGGAATTTTTTCAAATTTCTTTACATTAAAAAAAAGAAAATGTTGGTTTGTATCGTGATGACGGTCTAGAAATATTTAAGAACATCAATGGCCAGCAGATGGAAAAAATCAAGAAACATTTTGTAAAAATTTTTCAAAGTAATGATTTTTGTATATCTATCCAATGCAATATGAAAATTGTAAATTATCTTAATGTGACACTCGATCTTAATAGCAACTCTTTTCGACCTTACGCTAAACCCGATAATGAACTGATATATGTCCACTGTGATTCCAACCACCCGCCTAATGTTATTAAAAGACTCCAACGTACTGGTGAAATAAGATTATCTACAACGTCATCAAATGAAGTTGTTTTTAATAATACTACACCATCTTACGAAGAGGCTTTTAAAAAAGCTGGTTATAACTGTAAGCTTACATACCAACCCCAGGTTACATCACCTAAAAATAAAAATCGCAAGCGAAATATTATATGGTATAACCCTCCGTTTAGTCTAAATGTAGAAACAAAAATAGGAAATCGTTTATTAGCATTGGTTGACCTACATTTTCCTGTCAATCGCAAACTACGCAAAATATTCAATAGAAATTCGATCAAGGTTAGTTATAGCTGCATGCAAAATATTAAATGCATCATTAGTTCACACAACCACAAGATTTTACAAAGTAAAAGAAATATAACTACAAAAACATGCAACTGTATTACTAAAACCGCTTGTCCATTAAGTAACCAATGTTTAGTAAGTAATATTGTTTACCAAGCCACTGTGAGTTCTAATGATCCAGATCCTAAGGAAAAAGTATATTTTGGTATCAGTGAGACACCATTCAAGCTCAGATACGCAAATCATTTTAAGTCTTTTAATGCGATCAAATATAAAAATGATACTGAACTTTCAAAAGAAATTTGGAGTTTAAAAGAAAAAGGTACAACACCTATTATAAAGTGGAAAGTTATAAAACGCTGTGAAGCTTACAAACCAGAAACAAAAGCCTGCAAACTTTGTCTTCATGATAAATTAGAAATTTTATCTTTTAATGGAAACAACCTGCTTAATAAAAAAGACGAAATATTATCTAAATGTCGACATTTAAATAAATTCCTGTTATCTTCGATTGCGCCTTTTCAAATTACGTCAGAACTCGTTCTACCGTAAAATTTTGATTCGTTTTTTAAACGTTAATTTACGTTTTTAATTTTTAATTTGTAATTAATAGCTGATGATTGCCGAAAGGCACCAAACTTTAAATACTATTATAATGTTGTTTTTCTTTATTTAAATAATATATATATATATATATATATATATATATATATATATATATATATATATATATATATATATATATATATATATATATATATATATATATATTGCTCTATTATCATAATATCGAGTTTTGTATTATTTTATATAATACGTAATCAATATATATATATATATATATATATATATATATATATATATATATATATATATATATATATATATATATATATATATATATATATATATATATATATATATATATATATATATATAGTATATATATTACTGTTACCCGCAGTATCAGGAATTAGCTAAATGCTAATATTTATAATATTATATTGCGACTTAAAGTCTCATGTGTTACCACAATCACCAGGCAAGTAGTCAAAAGTTAATTTTGCTACAAATTGTAGCAAAATTAACTTTTGACTACTTGCCTGATGATTGTGGTAACACATCAAACTTTAAGTCGCAATATAATATTATAAATATTAGCATTTAGCTAATTCCTGATACTGCGGGTAACAGTAATATATATATACTATAATATAGCTTTATTTTATCTATTGAGCACTCTTCAAAATATACATTATTATACATGATAATATAAAGAAATCATCTTTAATATTTACATATATGCACCCACGTATATATATATATATATATATATATATATATATATATATATATATATATATATATATATATATATATATATATATATATATATATATATATATATTATACAGTTACAATAGAACATAAAACCATTCCAAAATAAACAGATTGATGGTATGAATATATAAAAAAATAAAAGTCCAAAATATTCAAAATTTATTCGATTATAATTTTTATATATAATGAAATAAATATAATAAGTTGATACGACAATAGTATGAATAGTAAAACATATCTCTATACTGTTACAGTTGAAATAGCTTGTAATATCTTAATTTTTGTCTTTTGTAATTGATGTATATAACATTTAAATAAATTTTTTCGTAAATTTTTCTTTTTTTTTTCTTTATAATGTTAGATTGCGTTTTGGTTTTGGTTTTGATTTTTGTTTAAAATGAAAGTTTTAAAAATATTACTTACATTTGTTTAGTTTAATAATTAAATTTTTAAATACTGTTTTCAAAAAGTTTTGATAATTCTAATTTATTAACGATTCGTTTTTAGACAATATTTTATTGTATAAAGAGGGACCTCGATACGAAATCGAGAATCTTAATTAACAAAATTTAAGTAACAATTTCAGACAATAAAAAGTTTTTTTTGTCTGATATTGTTACTTAAATTTTTTGATCACTCATGTATTATATTTGTTTAATTTTTTTTTCAAAATGTTTTTTGCAAAATAACGTTTTTGCTCTGCCACCAGATCTAATTTAATTTATGCATTAAAAATTTGTTGAATATTTTTTTGAAAGATATTTAGTGCTTTCCTTTGTTCCAATAAGGATTGAGCATGAGTAAATTTATGTTTTTGTCTTGAAGGATGTTTCCAACGCAAATGTGACGGTTCTAGGTTTGATTTGAGAATAGTGTCCCACGCTATATTGGTGTACTTAAGGTAGAGAATCTATAAAAGAAATAAGTAATATAATTTTTAGATTATATTGTGACAACAATGGTCTTGCTTTATAGAGTAGACCAATATTCTTTGATATTTGTGTTTTTGCATAACTAATGTGGGTGTTCCAAAAAATATTTTCATCAATCGAAACCCCCCAAAAAAAAACAGTATTTTTTGAGAGTTATGTTTCGGTAGTTATGTTTTCTATATTAATTGTTGTTAGAATTGGGAGTATTTTATTTTTTGTTGATTGGACTAAAATAGTATGTATTTTGTTTTGTCTATATTTAGTGATAATTTATTTGAATTAAACCATATGTTTAGTTTTTTTTTAGTTCAATATTTGTTCTTTTAGAGAACAAATTTACTTAAAATTCTCAAGTATTCTTGTACTGTACTATACATTGTTTTATATTAATTGTACTGTACATTGTTTTATTATAAAACATTTCACAGTACAATTAATATAAAACAATTTTAATATAAAACAATGTATAGTACAGTACAAAAATACTATATATGTATTGTAAATATAACAATAACAAAATAACTGTATTTAGCGTAATGTAAATATAGCTTAATATAAAACTTTTATATTAAGCTTTATTTACATTACGCTAAATACAGTTATTTTGTTATTGTTAAATTTATAATACATATATATGTATATATATATATATATATATATATATATATATATATATATATATATATATATATATATAAATATATGTATATATATATATATATATATATATATATATATATATATATATATATATATATATATATATATATATATATATATATATATATATATATATATATATATATATATATATATATAAATTGTTATTATATTTATAAAATTAATTTTAAAAACATATTCAAAAATTAATAGCTTTAGAGGGTCTATGAAAGAATTGTGGTAACTAATCTATAACTACTTGCAAATAAAACCTTCATGTATAATTATAATAAAATATACAAAAAGGTAACGTTACGATTGTAAAATATTTACTTAATAAGCGCATAAATTACAACTTTAAAGTCTATAGTTTAAAAAAAAAAATTTTAAGATAAGTTTTACATTTTATTTTTGTGTTTAAGAATTGAAATTTTTACATCAAAGCAGTTTAAACTTTTGTTACGTAAGACTATGCTTTATAAATTACAAACACAACTGTTCAAAGTTGGTATATGTGTTGGTAGCATTGTTGTTGCAAAGGTTCATTGTTTTTTTCATTTTTTTTTTTTAATATTTTGCCGTTTAAAAATATTACAATAACCAAATATATTTTACAATTTTTACATTAGTATCGACGGGACTTTTAGAAGATCACGAGGATCTTGTCATAAAGCCCTTTACAATATATGGTTAATTTTTAATAAAAATACAATATCTGTAGTGAAATAATAATACATCTTTATGCAAAAACATTTAAAAACCATGATAAAATGTTAAACTAAATAATATACAAAATAGAAAAACAACAAAACAAAAAATTGTTTTGTTTTTTTTTCAAAAAAATTGTTTCTTGTGTATAAGAGAAATTTGGACCTAAACAAGCGTAAATGTTTTATAAAACACGCTTTGCAAAGTAGTTTGAGGAAACTTGTTTGTCTTATACTGTTACTTAAGGTCACAGAAACTACGAAATATTTTCTACATTGTGAAATTATGAATTTTGAAGGTAAAATTATTGAATATTTACGCAGTTTTGCTGCTGTTAAGTTAGTGTCTTAAAATGTTAAGCGTAACGTTATTTATTTGTTTAGGTTAATTATGCTATAGCCACTAAGGGTTCGTCCATAAATTTTGTCACGCTCTGGGGAGGGGGAGGGCTTAGTGGTTTGGTGTCGACTCGAATGGGACTTGTTACTAAAGAGTAAAGATGTTGTGACGAAGGGGAGTGAGAGGTCAAAAATGGTCAAAAATTACGTAACGTAATCAATAATCCATTGATTACGTTACATAATCTAGTATAGCTATACGTATATGCTATAGCTAATGTAGCTATAGCATATACATTTATTTGTGTGACGTAACTAATGAACGACATCTAATATAGCACATACGTTTGTTTGCAGTTTAAGAATTCAAACTTACTTGTTTTTGCTGTTTTATTTCTTCAAAATCTCAAGGTTTAAGTTTTAAAATAAATACATAAAAAACAAAAAAATAATAAGAAAAAAAATTTGTCAACTTTTTTTATTCAATAAAAATATTTCATTTTTTTCAAATTAATTTTTATTATAAAATTATAAAATTTATATATTTTATTTAATACAATTATTTAATTGAAACAATCAACCTTTGGAGTAAATTGTTACTAGAAAACATTCAAGTAGATATTAGTTAACTAGATTTAAATAAACACTTTGACCTCATGAACGATTGGTACCTCATGAACGATTGGTACCTCATGAACGATTGGTACCTCATGAACGATTGGTACCTCATGAACGATTATTAATCAAACTTAAGTCAAATGGAATATCATGTCATATGCAACTGAATTAACGACTTTTTAACTAATCAACACTAGAGAATGATATAATGCTATGAACAATCAAAGTTGGAAATAATAATAAGCGGTTTTCCCCAAGGATCGGTAATATCTCCAATCTTATTCATTATGTAGATCAACGATTTACCAGAGTATTTAGAACACTCCAAGCTCTTTGCAGATGACGCCAAGTTTGTTTATTACTATTAATTTCACTAGTAGTTTTTGAACTGCTACAACTTTCTATTCTTATAATAATAAAAAAAGGGTCACGTGGCACATTGGAAAGAAAATGTTTAAGATTTTTAAATAACCAAAAGACTTTTAAAAAAATACTTGACTAGATTAGAAACTTGAAATATTTTAAATGTAAAATTGTTTGTTAAAAAATTAATCAAGTTATGATAAAATTGTTGTTTGATCTATAAAATACTAAATTGAAAATTAATAATTTAATAAATTAATAATTTAATAGGTTTTATTGAGTAGTATATACTTATTTTTAATCATTTTATATCTAAGTTAGATAACTTTATACTATTTAATCATACAGCATAAGCAAATTTTGCTATGCGGTGTGGGTAAAGGAGGCAGAAGAGAACTATTTAATTTAGGACTGGCCAAATATAAATATTATTTTAGGCTAAGTATTATTTTGCTTTTTGTTAAAAAAAAGTCACAATAATATGTTAGAATTTTAGGTAATATGTTAGAACTTCAGAAAACTTTGAATAAAAAAAATAGGAAAAGAAAAAAAAATAAGTGTAAAAAATAACCCTATAATAAATAACTATATGATAAATAATAATAGTAATAAATAATAAAAAATAATAAATACAAACCTTTTAAATATAAAAGAAGTTTTTGCTTGTTTTTGAAATTTTTGTTTGAACAAATCGGGTCAGTGATCATAGCGACAAACGGCGCGTAGTTATCAATAACATAATTAAATCGTGTTTATGAACTTGCATTACAATATAAAAACGTTTCTTATCAAATTTAAAATCAGCGTACGAAAGAAAAGTTGCTTTAAATAAAAAAAAGAAAACTAAAAGCTAAACATTTTGTTTTAACTATAAATATTCTTAATTGTAAATTTTATGACTTCAAAAAACCATTCGAAAAAAAAAATCCTGTCTGCAAAAATTTAAGTTTGAGAGTAAACAGCGTGCATATCATATTTTAAAAGATAAATAACAATTTTTGTTTTTAACACGTATACAAATTTCAGATATTTTAAATATGAAATTTCAGATATTTTAAATAAAATTTAATTTATGTTGAATATTTTTGTTTTTAATTTTAAGAATTTAACTAAAAAAACTTGATTAATTATTTTAGCATAAAGCGGCACTAGGTGGAACGTTCCAATGAAATAGATGACCAAAAATATAGTCGTTGTATTTATGTGGTATTAAGTTGTATTTATGTGGTATTTTTATTTCTTAATGAAATAAAATAGAAATTTAAAATTTTTATTTTTGTGTTTAACGAGCTCATACACGCAGCAAAGGTTTGGGGAAAATATGCAGATGAGCGCTAAGGGTACCAGTTGGATTTTTTATACAAATGTGATAATTTCATGCTTTGTTATAATATGTTTTGCAAAAAAATTGCGGCGATTAAAATCCAGGATAAAAAATGCCCCAAAAAGTTAACCCCCACCCATACGAGGCAATAAGTTCGAAAATAAAATTTGTAATTATATTAGACTAAATTTAAATTCATTTACAGGTTTTAACTTTCATCGAATAATCTTGTATTTTTTAAAAGTTATGATCATTCTCGATTCTCTTGAATACCGTAGAGTTAAATTTGATCTTATTATGGTATACAAAATTGCACACAATCTCGTCGACTTACCTTTTTCCAATCTCTTAACCTTTTCCAACTCTCACTAGAATACTAGATGTCACGCTAAAAAACTTATATTACGCAATATATGTTCAAATAATTGTCGTAAATTCTTCCTCAGCGAAAGAACTGTAAAATTATGGAATTCCTTACCAGCTCTCATCGTTGATTCTCCTAATTTATCAATGTTCAAAAGAAAGTTAAATAATTATAATTTACAACGCAATTGCGTACTGTATTAACTTGTATTGTAATTACCTCTGTCTATTTTTATATTAGTGGTATTACGTAAGCGTAATCTTCTGATTACCTGTCTCACCTTTTTGTATTTAATTTTAATGCAAATAAACATTATTATTATAATTATTCTGATCATAAAGTTTACAACCCCCTCATTTTGGGAGGGTGAAAACTTAATACAGTTATATCTTTTGAATTTTAACAGATTGTTAGTCAAGAAATAAAATCTGTCGTTTTAATTCTCAACTAATAAAAAATAATAATAAAAAAATAAAACTAATAATAATAAAAAAATAATAATAAATAAACTTCTAGGGTATTTTTGTTTTCAAACATTAATGATTTGAGCCGAATCATTGCAATTTTTTAGATATTTTAATTTAATATTTTTCTTCTAGGGTAAGGCGAGTTCGTCATGTTTTACTTTAACAAAATGAATTCGCATATAAATAAGTGAACTTTTCTAGTTTAAAAACTTTTTTTTACTAATAAGGGTCTCTATTTTGTTAATGTATTGAATCAAAATGAATTCTAAAGTATAATTTGATTTTTTCATCATCAAGTCATGAGGGGCGAATTCGTCAATTACGGGGCGAATTCGTCAGTACAGCTAAACTAATTTAAAAATTCGTGACTCGGGCGATAGACGAAATTCCTTTCTAGTGGTAAAGGCAACTTACCTAGGAGAAAAAAACTTTGACATAAAACATTTTTGAGGTCACAGTAGGATGATTTCCCTAATCTAGAAGTAAACCTAGAAGTTGCGAATTCGATTCCCACCGCGTCCCTGGTAGTACTGCGCTCAACTTGTTTTTCTCTCAACTCTATAACTCCGAAACACGAACCTTGATCGTCAAGGTTCGTGTTTCGGAGTTATAGAGTTGAGAGAGGGTTGTAAACACAACTAAAGTAGCCTCCTCGACTGCAGTGGCCTAGGGTAAAAAGACATCAAAAAGGACATCAAAAAGGACATCAATTGTTAAACTTTTTCCCAGAAAATATCAAATAATGATTTTGGCATAAATGAAAACCGTATAACCGCGCTAGCGCAAAAAATAGCACGTTAAAGCAACAAAAAATCATATCACTACTATGACTATTTAAATAACAAAAATCATATCACTACTATGACTATTTAAAAATTTACAAGACGTTTATATGTTCATTGCACACAGTTTGCACATGTATCAACTCCAAAACATTCTTCGCATGCCCACTGATTGCAATTTGAACATTTAAGCCAATCTTCACTTGCTTCTGCCCAAACAGCTGCACAAACACAACAAAAGTCTTTATCAGTGTTATTTTTTAGAATAAAACTTGAAGAACCTGGGTGATCAGAATCAGCTGAAAAAAAAGTCTCTTTTGATTTGGTTTTAACTGATTTATCGTGATCCTTTTTTAACTTCTGTTTAACACTGACCACATTTTTTATTGCAGCCTTTTTAGCAGGAGGCTCTTTTATTAACTTAACATTACCTGGTGATGTAATAAGAGCAATGTGGCGTTTTGAATGAGTAGGTTTCCTTTTTTTTTCAGGAGAAGGTATAATAGTCCTTAAAATAGATAAATTTTGGTCTCCCTGGTGAATTGTTGCTTTATTAAAAACCTCTGCTTTTTTATATTCGAAATCTTTTACTGGGTTTCTTAGGGGATGCAAACCACAATGGTAAAATGCATTAACAATCAATCCTCTTTTTGTAAGTATATTTGGCCATATTTTGTTAAAAATAATGTGAAAGTTGCAACGAGGCAAAGAAATATCATCATTTTCAGCTAAGTAATTAGACAAGGCTTCAGACCACATATGTTTAACTACTTTATTAACATGTGTGTCAAGTGGTTGAAGGCGATGTGTACTATGAGGTGGAATGCATATTATTTCAATATCCATCTTTATTGCTAATTCAATCGCTTCAATAGTCACATGACTTTTGTGGCCATCCAAAAATAACAACACTTTTTTCCCATTCACTTTTGTACAAAACTTATTAAAATGATGTAAATAAGCAATAAAAATCTCTTGATCAATATATCCACTTTGACTACAATGCACTTTTGTACCCAAAGGAAATTTAGATGCATCTGGAATCTTTGTTCCCTTAAATATGAAAAATGGTGGTAAGCTGTCTCCTGCTGCATTAACAGTGGCCAGGTATGTTGTTAGTGTGCCACGTTCACCAATAGTTAACTTTTGTACCTCATGAGAACCCTTTAATGCTATTACCTTAACAGAGACATTTGGCACAGATGAAAGGCCAGTTTCATCACAGTTATAAATCAAATTTGGATAATTTTTTATGTCAAGCTGTTCATAAAAAGGTTGTAAATCGTTAAAAAATGTCTGAGCGCGATTCTCATTAAATGCTTCTGCTCTTGCTCGAGAAAGCCCTTCAGGAATTCTTAGTGTCAACTGAGTATGCCTTTTTCGGAATGAGAGAAACCAATCACGTGATGCCAAACATTTATTATGCCAACTTTTTGGAATGGACTTCTGTAATAAATGACGTCTACACAAGCTTTTGGCATAGAAATAAGCAGCAGATCTTAACCACATTATTGTGGTTAAGATCTGCTGCTTAATATATATATAGCATATATAGCAGCCTTTGAACAAGAGTTTCTTCTTGATTTTTAAAGAAAATTGTTTTACCACATATAGAATGTGTTTGATGTTTTCCCCGTAATTTCAATCAACGTTGTACGTGGAATATTAAATTGTTTTGCTGTAGTTGATATAGTTTCTCCATCTATAATGGTTTGCAGAGCAGCCTGAAAAATTTCTGCATTATAATTATTTTGTCGCTTTGGTTTATAATTACGTACCATCTATACATTTTAACATGAAAAATAATG